CACACACAAGGGTCAAGAATGCTCAAACAAGAGGCTAGGGTTTGCTAAAATCGAATGGAGGTGTTGGAGGCTGATGAGAGATGAGGTTGGAGGCCATAAAGATTCTTAAATAGGGTCCAAACCCTAAGTTTTGGGGTTTGCAACTTTCGCATGTACGCCCTGCATATGCGATGTACGCCCAATGTACTTGACCCGCACATGTACGCCCATCATACACAACGTACGCCCAACATGCTGACATTCGGCCTAAAATTACAAAAATGCCACTATGGGCCATTTTGCAAGCTTTCTCATACACAAGGGCTAATTACCATAAACCTTCATACTTAAGGATTAAATTTGGAAATACCTCATCACCGGGATGTTACACATATAAACACTATATTATCTACTGAAACTATCAATAAAGACGACGTCGTAGTGTTTGTTGTCCCTTGTGGTGGATCTGAAGGGTCTACATACATTAGTGTATACAAGATCCAACAATCCTTCATCTCATTCAAGTTATCTAGGGTTAGGTTGGAAGGGTTTTAAAACGGAAACTTGAGGGACCAAGGGGTGAATTTCGGTTATAACCTACATGATAATGAAGTGCTCCCTCTTCACGTCCGTTTTTGGTCATGTTTGCATTATGAAGCCGAACCCAAAGAAATCGATTCCTGATTTTGTTTGTGCTTTTGTTGCCTGAAAAAAAAAGAAGAAAAGAAAATCGAGCGAGGCAGCAAGCAAGAAACATGATTGAGAAAGAAATGTGGATGAAGAAAAAATACGTGAAGATGAGGGATAAGGACCGACCACGAGGATGTGAAGTGAGGGGGTCGATGGGATTGTGTTGGGGATTTCAATAGAGGCTGGAAATTTATCAACAATCTTGGTAACTTCTTGATTCTTCATTCCTCATGTAACTCTACTCCAATTGCTAATGTGTTGGTTGAAATCTTGGGTAATTGCTCTCATTTGGTGTCAAAGATCATGTTCCTTTTACTCTCAATTCTTGCGATTACTTGTATGGATAATTCCAGATTTTATGAGGAACGTTATTGATTAGGTTGCATTCAAAACCCTTGTTAAAGCACTCTCTTATATGTTGTTATTGGTGAGTAGAATTTGTTAGAATTGTAGAGGAATTGTCTTCTCTTTGGTGTCTTTCATCATGATTTCTTTCACTTCAATTCTCATGGATTCTTGTAAGTAATTTTATGCATAAAGACCATGATTTGAACCATCCAAAAGGTTCTCAAAATAGTCTCTAGATGTCTTTATAAGTGGCTTAATGGTAGAGGAAACTCAAACCCCAGATTATGTTTTCTCTTATATTATCATACTTTGTTTTTTTTCCTTAAAAGCGTTGTACTTTGAGTCATGGTTTGAAGTTGAAATTGTCCTTTTGACTCCATGATTTTTTTCTACTGTTAAGAACTCAATTTTCAACTTGAGAGTGTTTTTGGTTTTGGATTAATGGGTTTAGATGTCAATTAACCCTTAAAAGTCAAAGCTGATAACTGTATGAAAATACCTATTCTGTTTCTGTTTTGTAAAATTCTAGAAAAATCATCGGGAGTCGGATTTAGGATCCGTTAATTCTAAAACTTTTTATTTTGAGTCTAGTATGTCCCTGATTTTTCCTTGACCTGATGTTGACTCTAACTAAGTTGAAAATCATCATTTTCACAGACTGGTCCGTAATTAGCTGCATTAATATGCAGATTTGTAAAATCCATAGAAAATTGTAAAAAAATTGTATGGACCTGTACAAATAGTCCATGAAAAGCTAAAAGTATAAAAATACTAGAATATGGAAAAATATTCTATATTGTACAGGATTTGGTGGTGTTAAAATGGCCTAGAACAGGCTGCTGTTTCGGGTTAAAATATGGAACTTTAGTATAATATTTCATCTATGTGTTTAGGATATAGAATAATCATTTTTAATATTGAAAACATATAGTAATATACTTGTTTTTGTTGTATTATGGGAAAGATTGATACATCAAGTGCTTGCGTGAATCGAAGAGGGAAAGAACATTTTTTTTTGACAAATATGAGTTAACCTTTGTGGAATTTAAGTACTTTGTTAGGGAATTTTATATCTTAGATGGATTGGAATGAACCTAGGTTGTATCGGTTGCATGTAACCCTATTTTGTATAATATGTTATTGGTAATGATGGTTATTTTTCTGTGTATGAGAATTTAGGATGCATTATATGTTAGATTCTTATTTTTGATGTGAGATGTGTGTTAGGTCCATGATGGAAAGAGGGTTTTGTGTTGTTTATATGTGATGTATGCATGTTATAATTTCTTGGAAATATTTGTCTATGATGATTTGGACAAAGCATGCTAGTGATGTGATATGTCATAGTGATGCTACGATGATATGTGCATGATATTGTATGTTGATGTAAAATGGTTAACTTGTGATAACCAATTTGCATGTCTTCATAACGTGTAACTTGAGAAGTAATATGATCTTATTATATGATAATAATTATGCATGATTACTTAGGGAGGTTAAATGTGTAATTTCCTTTTATCATGGATTAATATATTATTAATTAAAAATGGGAATACACTTAGAGGGCTAAGGGTAGCAACCTAGATTTAGGTGTGTACCCTATCTAGATTATATGATGTCCTAGTGGGTCAAAATATACCTATAGAATAAGCGCTTAAGCCAACATTAACGCTGATTGATTTTTCTAGACAACCACTCGACGCATGGTCCATGGTTTCCTGGACTAGAGTGGTGTTGACGATTGATGGAACATCTGTGCGAACACCACATGGTATTTAAGAGGTGTAACATGATGGAATTGGCACCGCTCGTACCGATCCTTAACGACAATGCTTGTACTAGTATACACAATGTCGAAGTAGCGAACATATCAAAAACCGATGACAATGTTACGGGTGAGAGTCGCGCATCACTTAGTGCATTGGGTGGTCATGTTAGTAGCAAACATGATACTTATATTGGGGTTACTGATGAATATATAGACCCATAAATAGGAAGTATTATAATGACAATTACAAAGGTGAATAAGAGGAGAGTAATTTTAATGATGAAAATGAAGATTAATATTATCTTATATATTATAGCGATGTATAATAACTGGTTACAAATATGAATAATGAAGTGTAACTAAAAGTGATGGCTCTAAAGAAGAATAACAATTGAACATTATTATGATGATTATATGGTGTATCTGATGCCATGTTATGTGAGTGTTAGCATGCATGTTTATATGATGTTTTGTTTGACCCATTTGGGATATGTGTGTTTCATAACGTTGTACTTATGATTAGCTCACTTAACATATGTTGACACTTGTTTCTTTGCTTGTTGTTTGCCTTGCATTGGTACAAGTAACATAGACTGATGGCTTGGTGAGGATGAAGACTTTTGGGTAGTTATTTAGTATTACTTAGTGATGATACAATTTTGGACATGTCATTGAGATTTCATTTACGTTTGATTTTGAGAACTTACTTGGATATTGGTTTTTAAGAACTTTTATTTTGATGGACTTGTTTTGTTAATAAAGTAACATGGGTGATGTTTTCATAAACTTCAAAATAAGACTTCTGCAAACGTATTCAAGTTAAAAAGTGATTCAAATAGAAAGAATTTTTTTGGGTGAAAAGTCACAATGTTCTATTGCATCCCCATCAATATACCGAGTGCTCACTGGTTTTTAGGTGTTTAGGATTTGAAGACATTCAAAATGACTATATACGATAGTCATTGGGTAGACGACTATTGTTCAAAAAATCAGTCTTAATTTACAGCTATACGAGCCCACATCCATCAATTCCTACTGGGTATCAAATACTGGGGGTACTAAACCAACTGATGTAATCTCCCTTGAGAGTTTCAAAATGACATTTGAAAAGGCACCAGGCGTACCACAACATGCTAACAATAAAGGAGATTGTGGGGTGTTTTTGTGTTGGTTCATAGAGATATTGATAATGGGGAAATCGTATTTGATATAGAGTGAAATCGATACATGGGCTATATCACATTGCAAACGATTGCCGATATTTTTTTGGGGTACGGGGATACATTAAGGGTCCATTTAAAACAAATTTAAATTTATGTAATTATTACTTTTTGTAGATTTTAAGATTTCAAGCATTACTACTTTTACAATATCGATTTTATATAAAACCATAAATAAACAAAAAAAGTTAACACACAACACATATAATACTTTTGGTAGATTTTAAGATTTTATGTTGTGTTACTTTTGCAATATACATTTTATATAAAACCATAAATAAACAAAAAAGTTAACACACATCACATATAATACTTTTGGTAGATTTTGAGATTTCATGCACTGTTATCTTTGCAATATAGATTTTATATAAAACCGTAAATAAACAAAAAAGTTAACACACATCACATATAATACTTTTGGTAGATTTTAAGATTTAAAGTATTGTTACTTTTGCAATATATATTTTATATAAAACCATAAAATAAAAAATTACACACCACATATAATACCATAAAAAAAATTTGATGTTCCAGAACGCTAGCCAAGAATCCTACTCTGGTAAATGCCCTATTCCAGACAAATGGGTTATTTTACAAAAAAAAAAAATGGTTATTTTTTTCAAACACATGCTTTATATGGTTGGATTACTCAATTTCCCACAACTTTATTAATAATTTACATAACAAACTTTGTTAATAATCAACCCTTATTTTAATATATACTTTTATCATTTAAACATGATGATAAAAAATTCGCGACCTTTTACCAAATTTTTCATGTCCCAGACCTAAAAGTTTTTCAGTTTTGATTCGTTACATAAATCTATTTGATCCATTGTCCTCTCAGGTATATGAACAAAAGCTACAAAAAGTTCACTTTTATTTTTGATGCAAACTGTAATAGATTCCTTGGATGATACATGTCAAAATGTATCACTTTTTTGTTAAATGCCACAAAGTTTGCCATGAGGGACATATCCAAGACTACAAGCAAAGTAACCAATACGTGTAAATAGGCACATCCATAGCTTCAGGCAACCATTTGCCCAACAACTATTAAAACCCTTCTTTCAAAACCACCCTCTCTAGTTTACCCTCATAGCCCCTGTTCAATATTCTCCATCAAATATGACTACCGTTTCTCAAATCCAAACCGTTCCTCCATTTCATCTGGATGATACGACAGCTGCGAGAGGGTATAGTCCACAAAACTTGCAGTTCTATACAGCACCATCGAGCCCTATGCAGCTTGACAGCGATGAATTTGAATTTGAGATCACTAACCAGATGTTTTCTAGTCGTTGTGAGTTTCAACAAACATATCCTGCCTTCGCGTGGGCAAAGCGGAACTATAACACAGAGCAAAAGTATTGGCTACCAGCTCGAGCCAAGTCTTTTGGTAGTGGACATGTTTTGCCTTTAAAACTCCCACCACGACTTCAGACATCGGTTTCTTCATCACCAAGGTCTCCAAACTCGCTCGTGAGATTCCCTTTTTCTCGGCCATGTGCTTGGAACGATGATTTTGATCCTTTCCAGTTTGCTTTGGAGAAAGTTAGCGAAGAGACACGGGCAAGGATGAGTTTCCATAGACGGTCACATTCATATTCTGCTTATCGAACCAGCAGTGTCTCACACTGGCTGGAAGACAAACAAGGGTTAAATCTCAGCCACGATGGTTCCAGAATTTTCAATCAAGGTATTTTTACTGTATATATAGCAAGAAACTTTTAATTTTTTTGGTTAGGTTAAATGCAAGAAATAGTTGTCTACTTTTATTTACTTTGTAGCATCGCATCTTCTTTGTCCATGCATTCTTGTATTTCAATTTTTTATTACGGAATATCATACTTCGAATAAGTCAATATTTTTTTTCTGAAAGGTATTTTATAAAAGGATATAAGTGAATGTTATATTTAGATGGATTGCTATAATTCTTGAAAGTAATTAAAATATAATGCCATATTATAAGTAATTCAATAAAAATAAGTTATTTTGCATGTGGCTCTTTTATTTTTCTTGCTTTGTAAAATCCTTTTAAGAGTATGCAGGTGAATACCGTGGCTTCCATGTAGGTCTACCCATGAAGCCCATCGAACAGTTGAAACCAAGGGGACCAACACTAGCGAAGTTGATGAAGCGCAAAGAGTCGGCAGGGGTTCCTAAAGAATCGACGGTCAAACCAAGATCAAAGTCAAATCCAATGATTCGAACTAGAAATGTGTGGATGGGGGCAGATGTAGACCATGAGGTGATGAAGACCCGAAATGATTCAAGGCCCTGTGCAGAATCAAAGAGGGAGAGAGTGATGTCATTTTTGTTCAAGTTGAAAAAGGGTACGAATTATGAAAGCAAAAGCGGTTGGAAACTACGTCGTTGCTTAGGGTATGGCCTTGGAAGTCCACCATCTATGAAGTAAATAAATAGGCCTACAATTTCAAGTCTCTCAGGACGTCCATGGCTTGTAATCCAAGTAATATAACATATATGCATGTTACCACTTCAATATGACCTCCTTTCCTTGTAGTTGAGTGCATGTTTTTTTGCAATTTATAAATAGTATAATGTATAAAGCTATATCGTAATTAATAATTAGTGGAAAAACTTGTTGGGTAGGGATCTAATAAAGTTTTTGAAACCGATAAGAAATTAGATATTTTTGAAGGATCATGTGAATATTTTTTCGAAATTGATATTCAATCCTATACCTTGGTTATACAAAATACAAATTATGGGGATAATCATTTCAAGGAACAGTCTCGTATCAAGGTACTGATACGAGACCATGAACTATGATTTATATATATGAATTCTTCTCATTACCAACGATAAGTATCAATCAACATTAAATACTAGTTTTATTTCATAAACAAGACATTGTAGTTTCAAAGATAACTATGAAGAATGTATTTCGAAAATAAAATTTTCGATAACCTTGGGCTCTGCTAGGGAGCTACCCCAACAACCCCGCAATGGGGTTCATCCCCTTGATCGCCCGTCATTTGATCGAACCGATATCAAACTCGTTTTATATAATAGTGCATTCCGCACCTCTTAACTTGTAATCAAATCAATCATTAAACTTTATTGGTAATCTATAAATTCTATTACACTAAAGTACTCTGATTACATTAAAATCACCAACAAAACTAAATAAAAGTTGAAGTGATACGAACTCAAAATAACTATTTGCACAACATTTTACTTGTAACATCTTTAATCATGTGGAATCTTGTTGCATAATTTGCGTGGGTTACATAAATTTGTATTGATTTTTTTTTTAAAAAAAAATTATTGTTGCACAATATTTATATTTGTTGGCAAAATAAAAAAATTTGGTGGAAAAGTTTTATTGTGATTTATTATGTTTTAATGTATTGTTTTTATAACCAACAAAATAAATAGTGTCAATAAAGGTAGAAATAAAGTTAGCAATAAAATGCGGTAAATGAGGGGTGTAGTCAATTTATTGAGAAATTATGAAGATGATAAATATAGTCTATACATTGTCTTTATTTTGTGGTATTTATAGGTTTTATTTTATAAAATAACCTACATTTTGATTTTTTTTTTCAGTTTCATACCTCATTTTTTTTTAAAAAAAAAAATCGGACTTTTATATATGGAAATCTCCATAAAGGCTTTTGAAGTTGTAGATGTCGAATATTGTTGTGAGGTGTCGAAGGTCATTGATAGTTTCGACAGTTTGTTATTTTATTATAAGGGCACTTTATGTATCGCAGTTTTCAGTGTTCAGTCCTTTGTATTTTTTGTATGCTTTCATGATCCCTATAAATATGAGATGTGTACTAGAGATAGATAGAACTTTCGTCATTTTGTCTAATACTCTCTATACTTACTGAAAGCATAATTGAGCCAAACAGACTTTATTTAGATCTCGTGTTCATCATTCTTACTTTACTCTGATTTCGTAATTCATACTCGATTTCATTACAATTACATTTGATATCAGAGCAGGATTCATTCAGAATTGATCTAATTTTCTGAGTTTGTCAAAAGTTTTTGAGTCTCGTCGTAGATTTCAATTTTCTGCTCTTTTGATTTAGAAAATCATCATAGATCATCTGTTGTGATTCGATTCTGCATTTTGTGTGTAAAATCGAGTATTCGATTGTTGAATTCTGATAGTTTTAGTTATTTGATCTCAATTTTATTCAAGCTTTTATCAAAATTTCTTCCGTACAACAATGACGAATTTTAACATGAACACCATGACATCTTATTCTCATCTTCTTGGTTCTTCAACTAAGATTCCTATGTTGATTCACGAATTCAATGATCAATGGGCTGATCGAATGGAGGATTATTTGAACGGAATTGATGAGGAACTCTGGAAGTGTATTCTCGGTGATGTTCGTCCTCCTGCTGCTGTTCAGAGTATTGGAACTTCTTCTAACAATCAAAATGTCAATGAACAGTCTGAGAGATTGTTGAAGAATCAAAAGAAGTGTATGCGTGAACTCAGAGGTGCTCTTCCTCCAGTTGTGTACAATTGCGTGCGTAGCTGTAAGACTGCAAAAGAGATTTGAGATACTTTGAAGGAAAAGTATCAAGGAAGCGAAAAAATGAAGATCAGTTCAGTCAAACAATGTCTGTTTGAATTAGGAGAGTTTAAGCAGAAGGAATGAGAGACAATTGAGTCCTATTATGATCGCCTGAATGAGCTCATATTCAAGTGTAACCGATATGGAGTAAAACGATCAACAATGGAGTTCAATCTCACTTTTATCATGGGTCTTCGTAAGGAATGGAGAAATGTCAGCCTTATGATAAAGACGCAACAAAGTTTTGATTACTTTTCTCTGAATGATCTTTACAATGTGATGAAAGCACATGATTCTGAACTGAATGAAATAGCTGAAGAATCAAAGATCAGTTTCGGTGGTCCACTTGCTCTTGTTTCGAAAGTTACTGGAAGAGAAGCTGAGAAAGAGGTTGTTGAGAAGGAGAATTCGGAAGATGAAGGTCTGATCGTCAACTCTGATGACGAAGCTGTGACACTTTACTCAAACAATCGAGTAAAGAAATTTTTCAAGAAGCCTTTCAATGCAAAGTTGAAAACAAGTGTTGTGAAGGGAAGTTTTTCTGGAAAATCAGGGAATGATGAGAAGAAAGTTGAGAAAAATGAGTTTAAATCTGAAGAGATGAAGATGGAAAAGAAGCTGAAAGGAGATTCAGGATTTGATTGCCATTACTGCAATGGAGCGAATCATAAGGCCAATGACTATATGTTGCAAAAGCGAGATGAAAAGAAGAACAAAAGTCAAAGACGAAGCTTACTATGTTGAGAGATTGGAAGAGGTATGTGCAAAGATGAAGGGGTTATCTCTGGTGGCCAAAGGTATGGATGAAGAAGATGGAACATACCAGATTTGGTCATCTGGTTCTGATGATGACGAGATGCGAAATCCTACACATGGGGTTATGTTCGCGATGCATGAGGATAAGGAGGAAGAGAAAGTCACTGGGAAGTGCTTTGTTTTGACATCTACTTATCAAGCACCAATGACTTCAAAGGTACGTTCTCTTTTACAATCTTTTAATATTCCCTCTAGTGCATATGATTCGATTTTATCTGAGTTTGATGTAGAAATTTCTTATGTTAATGATCTCCTTAATTCTGCTAGTAATGATGCTAAGAAGTCGAACACACTACTATTAGAAACTCATAGGATGTTGGAATCGAAGAAAGCGAAAATAGAATACTTCATATTACAAATAAAAAATCTTATGTGTGATAGGGATAGTTTAAGTGCTGATGTCAAGTTGTTGTTAAAACAAAGAAATAGCTACTGTAATTCAGCCAAAAGACTATATGTTAAACTGACAGCATTACATCATTCATCAGATGTTAGCAAAGAACAGCATAGGAAACTTTTGCCCTTTTTAGCATTCGAAAGGGAGAAAATTGACTCTGTTTCCTATGACTGTGAAAAGACAATTGCTGAACTCGATAACGTTCCAGATAATAGATATGCATATGGTATAGTGAAAATTGATGAATGTCTGGATGCTAATGAATTAGTTGATATTGTAAATGAAACCTTGACCAAAAATGAACAAATAAAGATTTTGAAAAGAACTCAGAATTCGAAATCTGACTCTCAAACTAATTTTGTTGATATCGACGATGATTCTGATGATATTAGTGAAATTGAAGAGGAGGAAGTTTTTGATTGTTCTCAGTTGTCTGTCATTAATGTCACATCAATGGCTAAAGGAAAAGAAAAATGTAATGATTATATGGTTAAAATTGACACTACTCTACCCTCAACTTCGAAAGTTCATGATCTTGACCATGTGACTGTCGAAGATAGTCAAACAGACAGTGATGATGACAATGATGATGTTCCGAAAGAAACAACAATTCCAAGGGTTGTAGTTGATCAGGTTTTTGACGAAACTAAGAAATTCGACAAAATTATGAAGGAAAAAGGTTCTCATTACCTTGAAACAAATATAGTTGTGTATCCAAATTTCAAATGCACAGATGATGTTATCTTTTCTAATCAGGTTTTTGTCACAGTAGGAATTTCTGATAATATTAAACCAGAGTTTAATAAAAGGATTGAAGAAGATAACAAGAAGGCATCAAAAGAAGGATTTTTCTCAAACCAAAGTATTGTCGAAAACAATCTAACAAAGAAATCTTACACTTTTCAACGACAAAAACCATAATGAATTTGGGTTGAAAATTTTGAAAATTCAAAAGATGTCTCAAACAAGTTGACATTGTTTCACAACATGTCAAAATTAATTCTCAAGAGTTTAAGGAACAAATTGAAAAGATTTCAAAAGAAAGTGGTATTTCAAAGAGACAAGCAAGAAAGAAAGTTTTTTGGCAAACCATTGAGTCTTGAAAGAAGCCGACTGTTTTGCTAAATAAAGCATCTGAACAGAAAAAGTGTAATTAGGCTCAGACTTCTTCTCAAAAGAAAGTTGTAAATAAGAAAAATTCCGCTCTAACTCAAAAAGATTTGTCTCAAACTCAACCACAAAATGGTCTTTCAAAATCCAAACTGTTGGATAAGATGTCTAAGTCCATAACTATATTTGGTATGTACTTGACCCGACCCGGCATGGTCCATTTGGGTTGCACTTCACCGGAACAATTTGTATGGATAGTCTTTTGAGAATAGTATATTTATGATTTATTAATATATTATAAGTTATAATATATTAATATGAAATCATATTATTTAATTAGTATTGATCAAGAATTAATTTGGAATTAATTTAGTGATAAAAAAGAAACTAATTAAATATGGACTCTTATATATATATATATATATATATATATATATATATATATATATATATATATATATATATATATATATATAATGGGCCAATGTTCATTTAGGATGGGCTAAGTTTGCATGGAAGTCCATGGATAGTCCATGGAGCTTTTAACCCATGG